CGCCGCCCGCTCCGTCCCGGGGCCCGCCCCTCACGCCAGGTCAGTGTTCTCGATTATGAACTTGACGTTCTCGTCCGTCAGCTCGGTGATGCGCACGGTGGGCTGGTTGGCGTACGGCATGGCGGCCCCGCACCCGGCGGCCCTGCGCTCCGCACCCCACCTCTTCCTCCCGGAAACCCCGCCCGCCCCGGTCAGTCCCGCCCCGCTCCCCCCCGTGCGCCGCCAAGAAGAGTCCGTGCCAGGCTGCGGAGCGGGTTTATTGGTGCCGGGGAACGGTCAGGGTCCTGCGTCGTCCGGTCCCTCCTCACCGGCGCTGGTTCAGCCCCGCCAGGTTCTTGATCTGCGGGGCAGGGGGGAGAAGGGCGTTAAGTACCGGAGCACCGAGCGGCCGCCGCGCTCCCCGGGACACCGAAGCCTTCGCCCAGCCCTGGGGGGGTGTCTCAGCGTCCTGCTCCAAGAGCGGGGGTTGGCCGGTGTGCCGAGGAGGGGTGAAAGGCACCGTGCACGGCCAGGGGAAACGCCAAAGGGCTGGAGGAGGATCGCCCTCAACATCTCCCCGACCCGGACCCGCTCGGCTGGGCAGCAGGGCTCGGCTTTATCACCCACCTCTTGTGGGTGTCAGGAGGATGGGGCCGGTCTTTTTTTCAGTGGTGCCCAATGATAAGACAAGAGGAAATGGGCACCAACTTGAATATAAGAAGTTCCACCTAAACATGAAGAGGAACTTCTTTCCTGTGAGGGTGGCAGAGTCCTGGAAGAGGCTGCCCAGGGAGGTGGTGGAGTCTCCTTCTCTGGAGATACTCAAAACCCTCCTGGACATGTTCCTGTGGGGTGACCCTGCTCTGGCAAAGGCTTGGACTAGATGATCTCCAGAGATCCCTTCCAACCCCATGTGATTCTGTGATCTCTGCAGCCCCACAGACCCCAAGGGTGAACTGAAGTCCTGGAGGCATTTTGTTGGCTTGTCTGTCTGGCAGAAACCTAGAGCTCAGCTCCCCTACACAGCTGCTGCACCCTCGGGACTGGCTGCCCCCACAGTTAATGTACTGGGATGATTTTGCCCCAAAACCGGCTGGCTGCAACCCCCTTAAGAAGTGGTCTGCTTCCTCCTGGTTATCTGCACAGGCAGGATAAACATCTGCTGAGAGGAGACATCTCGGGCCCAACCTGCAGGGACACAGTTGTGTCAAGGCACGAGAGCACAAAGAGAAGGGGGCTCCTCTGGTGGGGGACACTTTAGGCATACACAGGTGTGAAAGCAGAGAAAGGCTGAGAAATGCTAAAGATCTGAAACAATTCCCCCATAACGGCAGCGGGAAGGAGGTGGGAGAAGTTCTTGAGGAATGCTTCGTACAGTAAAAATTATTTCTGATTTATGTTCCAGCCTGTTTGTCTTCCCTGTTAAGCAGATGGAAAGTGTACTCCTGATAACGAGGAAATCCCTTTGCTGCTCAGTGCAATGGGAGTTGTCCAGAAATGGAATCACAGGGAGGCCCTGAAGCCCTTCAAAAATCATTCCTGGGTACACAAAGGATTGCTTCCTCTCCCAGAGGACACACAGCTCCCCCTGCACGGACACAAAGCAGTCCAGGATGCTACCAAGAAGTGAGTGAATTCTTAGAAGGACATTGCAGTCAACTGAAACAGCTTGAGGAAGTCACCCTGCTGTGACTCAGGGACAAGCATCACCTCCCACACATCCATGAGGGCACAGACCTTCTGTAAAGATCTCCAGTGCAGGGGCTGGCAGAGGAAGACATCTCATGATGGGCGACGGAGAACACTCGTATTTATTCTAATCGCCTGTCTCTCATCCCTAAAGCTCAACCTGCAGCTTCAGACTTTATTTTTTTTACGTTCCATTACACGCTCTTTCACCACAAACCAGGGAACTAACCCCAAACTACCTGGAAAATCATCCTTATGTGTAGTTAAGTTATAAAAGACAATTCTTTTTCACGCTGTCCTTTAGATTTGGGAGGAAAAGCATGCTGACATTAAGCATGGAAAGGAACAGAAACAATTCTGCCCTTACAGCCCTGCTGGTTCCAGCATTACTTACCGTGACTGCAGCTCCCATCAGGCCCTGGACAACTGCTTCTCCGGTTGACTGTACCTAGGTGACACAAGGAGAACATGACCTTTTGCTTTCTTCTGCAGTTACACTAGTGGCCACCCAAACACAGGTATGTAATGCCCAACAAACATGTATTTGCTACAGAAAGGTGCTGAGAGAAGCCAAGCACTGTAGACAAATGACAGCCAGAGATAAGAAATGTAGAAGAGATTTCCTGGGAATATATGTCTCCCAACCATCAGGCCAGTCTGACAAAGAGAGCACCTACACATCATTGTACTAGAAAATACGTAAGCATTTATTGATGTTGAACTGATAGCATTTCTGCATTCACCTGCCAGTACAAGGTCCCCTCAGCAGACGTGTGCTCTGCATGATCGAAAAACCAAGCCTGCCTGCATATGTATTTGGGGAGAAGGGGGACACTGCATGAAGGACGGGGACCTGTTGGAGTAGGTCTAGAGGAGGCCACAGAGATGCTCCAAGGGCTGGAGCCCCTCTGCTGGGAGGACAGGCTGAGAGAGTTGGGAGGGTTCAGCCTGGAGAAGAGAAGGCTCCGGGGAGACCTTCGAGCCCCTTCCAGTCCCTCAAGGGGCTCCAGGAGAGATGAGGAAGGACTCTGGATCAGGGAGGGGAGCTACAGGATGAGGGGGAAGGGTTTTAAACTGAAAGAGGGGAGATTGAGAGGAGATCTGGGGAAGAAATTCTTTCCTTTGAGGGTGGTGAGGCACTGGCCCAGGTTGCCCAGAGAAGCTGTGGCTGCCCCATCCCTGGAGGGGTTTCAAGGCCAGGTTGGAGGGGGCTTGGAGCAACCTGGTCTGGTGGGAGGTGTCCCTGCCCACCCATGGGCAGGGGGTTGGAACTAGATGATCTTTAAGGTCCCTTCCAACCCAAACCATTCTGTGATTCTATGTACATCTTGCCCATCATGTTACCTGATTAGCTGTATTGCCCATGTTCATGGCATCAGCTACTCTGTTTTCCAGGAAGCGCCAAGTGTCCTCGAAGTCAGGGGATGAATCCTGCATCATCACCAGTTCAGTGGTGTTGTAGATACCAGTAAGCACAGCCCGACGAGTGTACCAGTTAAACTGCAAGGGCATGAAATGAGAGAGAGAGAGAGAAAGGTGTGATGTGAATGCAGATCAGGAATGCAGATCAGGAAAGCAGACTGTAGAACAGAAAGGAAAATAGCATAGCAACGGCACATTCCTTCCCCACCTAAACTCTGTAACTCATCCCTGTGGTGCAGTGGGCCACCAGCCAACACCAACATCTGACAGCACAGCTGCTCCCATGGCACCAGACACAGGTCACAAGCACAGTGTCTAAATTTGCAACAAAACCCCCACTCCCTGCTTCTGGCTGTAAGCAGGTAGCAAGGAATTCCCCCTTGCCCAGCTACTCTGTGTGCATGGTGCAGGAGTTCATCTTCGCTTTACAGATTTCTAACAGGTAATGCAAAGCTCCAATTCTAGATCTGGATTCAGGACAAGAGGAAATGGGCACCAACTTGAATATAAGAAGTTCCACCTAAACATGAAGAGGAACTTCTTCCCTGTGAGGATGGCAGAGCCCTGGCAGAGGCTGCCCAGGGAGGTGGTGGAGTCTCCTTCTCTGGAGACATTCAAAACCCACCTGGACATGTTCCTGTGCAACCTGCTCTGGGTGGACCTGCTTTGACAGGGGGGTTGGACTAGATGATCTCCAGAGGTCCCTTCCAACCCCATATCATTCTGTGATTCTGTGATCTGATTAGATGAGAAACAGCTATATTTAGTACTGAACTTGAGCTGTGGTGTGCACCAGATACAAGTGTGAAGAAACAGAGGACAGAACTGTACAAGACAGCACACAGAGATGCACCTTTCCCAAACCCTATCACTGAAACCCTGGTGCTGGCTGCTGAATCACTGAGCGTATAACTGCACTGCTGCCAGCAATGCTCTAGGATGTGTTACAACAGTAGGTTACACAATGCAAAGATGCACAAATAACTCAAACTCTTCAGTTTTTCCAGTTGCATTTGGACCACTGGCAGACGAAATATATACACATTTTTAAAAACAAGTCTTCAACTTCATTTGCTACTAATACCTAGAAAAGATACTGGTTGTTACATTCACTGCTACAAAGGAACAGAGAAATGAAAACACTGGTCTTAATTTTGAAAACAACAGTCGGCTGGAAAGCTCTGCTGTCTACAAGCCTGCAAGCTTTGATGAGGGAAGTAACATAAGGGAAGTTGCCACTTGCAGCTGGATCTCTCACCTGCCTGAGACTAAACCCTTTGCATTGATTCTCCTCTTGCTCCGAAAAAAAGCACCTGAAGGGGTGCCTCAGAGGCACAGACATACCCTGCCGAGCTCCTGGCATTGTGAAGAGGGCTGCGCTGCCAGTAACATTAAACCCCTTTCCTGTGAAAGAGGGAGGGGGCTTGGCATCCCAACTTCCCAAGAAAACTCTTGTAACCAGTCAGAAGGTGCAAACAAGAGACAAACTTTAGAACCTCTCCTAATCCCTGTGTCAGACTTTAGGGACAGCTCAGAGCAGACACTGACTCGGACATGTTGATTTGACTTTCATAACCCATAAGAGACTTGCATTCCTGATGCAATTACAGTCTTTTGGTTCTCTTCTGGTTTATTCCTTTAATTTTTCTGTCATCTTACTTATTTTTCACTGCAGTAGCTTCTCTTTCATACTCAGATAAAAGAAGCTTATTAAAGCAGTTTGTTAAAGCAGTTCATTTACCTTTTCCCATCTCTCCTTACATCTATATAAATTAAAGTAATTTATTAATTGCTTTAATTAAGGTTATAATTTTCTTTTATTTCCTGCCAGAAAGATGAAAGCTTTAATAAGCTACTGGCATTTTTAGGTAGGTTCTTTAAAGGTTTTCAAGTCAAATCTGTAAATGCTACTGCTGGTGGAAGAGAGACACTGCTCACTCACTGAATACTGGAGCAACTTCCTAGTCTCAAAATCTCAACAATTTTGTCTGCGTGTTCTAAATAAAAAAGAACACTTAAAAGAGTCTAGGAAAGTAGGTCCTTTTGATTTACACTAATCCCATTGTCACTGATTTGCATGTAGTCCCCTTGGCTCCTAAGTCTCTCTAGAAATTAGACTATAGCTTGTAAGGACCCTTGGGTGCTTCTGAAAACATATTCCTCATTCAACAAATAGATTGTTTCAATAGAGACGTGGCCTGACACCTACTTCAACCCATCATTTGCTGAAGTGCTGAGGGGTAGAACCAGCCAGTCTGCAAAGCACAAAGACTTACATCTGTGGACTGGTCTCCAGCATAGTGCCATATATCATCAATCATGCTGGTGAGGAGGTTGAGGCTGGAAGGGATGTTGTGCGGTAGCAACAGGATGCTCAGAGCCTGCAAAGGAATCACACAGATCAATGGGAGTCAAAGAGAGGACACAGCATTAAAGCAGACCAACAATGCTCTGCTCTGTTAGCTTTTCCCTGTGCTGTTGGCTTGCTAACACCTCCCAGTGACAAGCCCTCCCAGTTCTTTTCAGCCTACACCAGTCTTTCCAAGAGCAGGTTTTGCAGGGAATGTACAGCATGGCAGCTGAGCTCAGGCTGCCTTGGCCCATACTGGAGCCCACAGCTCACCACTCAGCTCAAACGCCGCTGCGTTGTCTCTCCTGAGCTGCCTCTCCAGGCACAGAAACACAGCAGAGGCTGAGCTGAGTCACACTTGTGCTGTACCCCTACGGGCAGGGAGTCAAATCTCTCCTTTCTCTAAATTTGACTTTGAACTCAAAGCAGCTACCAAGGGCAGAACAGCCAGCCACAACGGCCCCACCGGGATGCTGCAGCCTCTGAACATAATAACAGAATACCAGAAGAGTCACAAACCACCCACATTCTTCACAGACAAGTTATGCTAATCTGTAATAAAACCAGGAATCCTGTTTTCTCTCTCTGCAAGGAGTGCTGGATTCTGCTGCCCAGTGACCATCAGCAATTCTAGAGAACAGAGACTGACTTCACAGCCATCTTTGCAGCCCAAGGTTGGGAACTCTTTGCTCGTTGCCGAGGTCACAATTCTATTCCCTTCCCACCCCTGGGAAGAAAGGCTTGAGACTTAAATCTGAACCTGGAAGCATGGAGCACTCTCAGTTCACAGATCCATCCTCAGGTTGCCAAGGGTTTGTCATTTGCACACTGGGCAGGCAGCTGCTTGCAACAAAGCAGTAGTACTGCATTTGCAGGTGCCAGATGATACCTGTGCAACCGGAACAATGCTGCAAGGGGCCTCGCAGTGACACTGCACACAGGCTGAGCAGAGACACAGGGTATCCCCTGGGGATCCGAGATGTGGAGTCAACAATGGAGGTTTGCCTTTCCAGAATTGCAAGAAATAGTTGCTATAAGGATACCTTTAGCTGCCCCTTTCCAAGGGTGTTCTACTCTTGAAGGGTATGAATCATTTGAAACCAGGGAGGGTTTAATTTACAGCCCTGAACTACTCTGTGGAAAGGCTATGCTGAAAGCCACAGGGTGTTTAAAATACACACCAAAAAAAAAAAGATACCATCTTGATATTCATTTTATACCTGGGGCCATTTATCAATATATGGAATCAGCATCCTCAATCTGGCTTGCACAGCATCTCTCAGGAATTGATCTGTAGGCTTCTTCCTGGGCAAGGAAAACAAAATAAAAATATGAACAACATCCAAGTTAAACTCAATTCTGAACTTTAAAGATCGATCTATTGCCTGCCTCAGCAACAGGGCAGCAAAGTATTATATATCCTTCATGTCTCTGTTCCAACCCTGTATCCAGCAAGGTGGTTTTATTTGGGTAAATTACGTCTTTTACTTTAAGTATCTGTGTCCCAGGTGGCCTCTCTGTCTATCCAGTCCCCAAAGTCTGCCAAGGAAGATATCTTTTCATACCCAATACTCACTCTGCTTCACCCAGCTGCACTAGTTTTTGTTCCTGCTCCAGCAGCTCAGACAGCTTGGTGTTGCACTGAGACACAAAGTGCAGGATCAGTTCGCTGCCGTCACTGTGAAACATCCCTGCAGCAGCAACAGAGAGACCCAGGGTCTGCAGGGAAGGAGTAAGAAGCACAGACTGGGTCATTCACTGCTAAGCAGAATCCAGCTAGGAAATAAGTCGTATTTATTTTGTGAACAAAGTTATATGACTTTAAACAAAGCAACATTGTGTTAAAAACCTCTTCCTGTACGTGTTTTCCTCTCTTTAGGATAACTACATCGTGCCTTAGTTTAACTCTGACAAGGTTATCCCTGTCAGATAATGCTGGGATGTGTTCCTGCCCAATACCATTTGCTGATTAGGGTGCATCACCCAAGAGTATGTGGGGGAAGCATGCAGGCCTGGCTGTCTTTGGACTTCAGCTCCATCCAGTTCAACTGGTTCTTTGCTTCTCTCCCCACATACCTTGGCTCCCTCTGCAATGGCTTCTGCAGTCCAGCCATGTTCAGGCACAAACTCCAGCGCTGCTGTGAGGATTCGATGCTGCAGCTGCTCCTCGCTCTCATAGTCCTCAGACTCCTGGCCGCCCTGGCCAGTGTAACTATGAGAAGGTATTGTCACAGTAAGGGGAACGTCACCATCAAACATCAGCAACCTGGACTCACTGCCACCTCTCTGTGCAGGCACGCTTTTGAGATCTGCTTAGCATAAATCTCACCTCCTCCTGTAAAATCCTTCTCTTTCCAGAAAAAGGATTCTTAATGAACTTTTGCCATGAGAGGAGAAGAGGAAAGATAAGGGAGGGCTCAATCTAGGTACCCACCTGGAGACCAATCAGCTCCAGATTCCCCCTCCTTTAAAAAAAAACACCAAAAAACTAACTATAAGCTTTTCCAATGGGGGCTTTATAGTTATGGGCATGTGGACAACATATTGTCCATATTTTGTGTAGATTTACACAAAAATCCAGAAGTGAAGGCTTGCACTTTGCAGAACAGAGAGCTTCCCTCTTGAAAGCAAGTCCCATCCTGTCTCCATGGCAGACAGTGGAATTTGCACTGTCAGAGCAAACCAGCTCACCAGCTGCTGCAGTCTGAGGCTCCACTAACTCTGGATCTCGTTGTCTCCAAGTTTCAGATGCAAGTTTAAGGAAAGCAAAGCCTTCTGATCCTACTGTTGGCAGGAGAGTGCTAGAAATAGTGAACTACCTGGGGCGAGGGCCCTGAGGTTCCTGTTCGGGCTGGTGATCGGTTGGATGCGAATCGAACTGCTGCTGTGAGGAAGATACGAACGGCTCCTTCTGCTCATTGGAGACTCTCCTCAGCACAGCTGAGACCTGGAGAGCACGCTGTGGTGGGGAGAGCTGGCACTGGACCACTAAAAGGGAAACAAAGAGAGTCAGATGTCTCTATCCAAGAAGAGGAAGCACAGACAATTAAGGTGGAGAGTTGCAGTAAACACAGCTGAAAAGAACCAAAATTTGTAGAGTAGAGATGGTCTTTTTTTTATGCTTCTGAGAAGCTCCCCTCTCAGTCAAGCTCACATTGACTTGGTGAAAATAAAGTGGAAGTGTTTTGTGAGGAAAAGAACCTTGCAGATGGCATGTATGGCAAATACAAAGGAGTTTCCCAATCTTGGACTGGAAACTAGGCACACAAACATGCACTGACTCCCCTAGAGCACACCCTCTCTCCTTTTCACTCCCTGATGAAGGAGAGGAGTTAGAGGAAGGCACCAAGCCCTGAGCTCGGGGCAAGAGGCGAGCAATACCCCAGAGAGTGAGCAGATCATGATACGTGTTCCTCAGGTGACTCAAAGCCAACGCAGCTTTCCGTTACAGCGATGCTGTGAGAATCTTTCATTGAACTGCAGTGAAATTTGGGTTGTTGTTGGGGTTTTTTTTTTAAGAAGCTAGGGTTGCACAGCTCACACTTCACAAATCAAAACCAAACCATCATCAACAAACCCAACTCCCCCTCCACTTCCCTCTCGTGGGGCAGGGAGGCACGAGGGGCTGGTTGGGCACCAGGCCTGCCCAAGGGCTCTCCTCACACCTGGCCCCTTCACCCATCCACCCACCCCAGACAGACCCTTCGCGGGCCGGCCAGCACACCCAACGGGCCTCACCCCGGTCCCACACATCGGGCCCAAGGCCGCGGTGCGGAGGCTCGCAACCCCGCGGCGCCCGCTAGTGGCGCCCCGCTTCTGCCCTTCACCTCACCTTCCCCCGCTCTGCCCGGCCCCTCCCGGCCCGGTCCCACACGCCACGGGCGACCACAGCTCCCTCCGTCCCGGCCGCGCCCGCCCCCCCTTGCCGCCGCCTCCCCC